AGTGGTCTAGCTTCAACTGCCTCATAATTTCAATTATTGAAATCGTAATTCAGTCAAATCCTTTGTGTATATGTATATAACATTCAGATAGTTGTATATTGATATATGAAATAATGCTTAGAAACACTTAGATAAATGAATTAGTCTAATAAATAAATTCTGAATCTCATGAATTTGAAAAATGAAATAAATTAAACCTTATAATATGTTTATTGGGGTTTATTACCGTTAAATGACAATTCTTTAAAGTATACATGAAATAAATAGAGGTTAACTGACATTTCGAAACCAATTATTCTAAAGTGTGCAAAACCGTAAGGTTAATAATAACCAGACTAAATATTCGTTCAAAGACTAGATAATGTATAAAATAGTGTTTATTAAGTTAGATGTGATAAAAATGAGATGTATGATAAATTATTTATTCAAATTTATTTGAGTAAAATAATAAGGCACCACAACAGTAGATTTAGATTATTCTTACCCATGAATCACCCGATCAATGTTGGCCCACCAACAATTGATGAGATCAGCATGATCATCAGACAGATCAAAAGCGGTAAAGTAGCGGGACCAGAAAACATTCCAGCAGAAGCACTGGAAGCAGACGTAGCAGTAACTGTAATGATACTCCACATTCTCTTCAGCAAGATTTCGGATGAACATCAAGTACAAACAGACTGGAAAGAAGGAAAACTCATCAAGATACCAAAGAAAGATGATCTCAGCAAGTGTGAGAACTACAGAGGCATCACTCTTCTCTCAATACCAAGGCGTTGTTAAACAGAATGAAGAACTCCATAGACATCCAACTTCGAGACCAACAGGCTGGATTCCGTAAGGATAGATCGTGTACCGACCAAATCACGACACCACAGATTATTGTGGAACAATCAACTGAACGGAATTCATCACTTTATATCAACTTCATTGACTACGAGAAAGCGATTGATAGAGTGGACGGGACAACACTATGGAGCTTTCTTCGACACGCAACTCCTAAAATGGATTAAACTGCAAAATCATGCATAGAGGACAGCTGACACACTCGTTCGAAGTGAAGACCGGTGTCAGGCGATGTTGCTTACTCCCACCCTTTCTCTTTCTCCTGGTGATTGACTGAATTATGAAGACATCAACATCTGGAGGGAAGCATGGGATACATTGGACAGCTAGGATGCAGTTGGATGATCTAGATTTCCCAGATGATCTGGCTGTTATATCGCACACACAACAACAAATGCAGAAGAAGACGATCAGCGTAGCAGCAACCTCAGCAGCTGTCTGTGCAAAACACTTCGGATCCACTGGCCAGACACTATCGTCAACAACCTACTGTGGGATGGAACAAACCAAATCCCAGTGGGTTAAGAAATCAGGATGAAGCACTGGAATTCGATAGGACACATATTGAGGAAAGCACCGAACTGTGTCACAGGTCAATTGCTCACTTAGAATTTTCAAGGTCAAAGGAGAGAAGGAAGACCAAAGAATACATTACGTCGAGAAATGGAGACAGACATGAGAAGAATGAACAAGAATTTGATAGAACTAGAAAGGAATGCCCGGTACAGAGTGGGTTGTAGAATGCTAATCGATGTCCTATGCTCCATTTGGGGTAACAAAAGTAAGCTACAGGGCTACCGTATCGTAAAAATTAACAACTGAGACTGGTTTAACTTAGATAAAATCTTGGGGCTGGTTCTTGTTGCCTAGAATTTCGTTATTTTTAAAGTTGATATTGTCATACTTACTGTTGGAAGGATTTTGAGTCCGGTCATTTTCTGACAGATAACTAATAACAAAGGGATTATTAGAAATAATTGACGCCTTTTTATTTCTTTTGAATTTACTGTTTTCACTAAATGTTTACTTAACTACACTGAAAAGTTTTAGTCAATAAGGAAACGTGAATTCATGGTTTTCTCCTTTTGTAAGCGTATTAAGTAGAGTACGTAATTTGCTTTCTGCTGTATTATCACAGCACATGATTGCTATTCTGTGATGAAGTGGTTTAATTAGATTTTAACTACAAAAGTATATCCCTTGTTGAAACTTCTTCCTGCTGATCTTTTTTAATGTTCTTGTAAGTACAATACTTACAAAATATATTTTGCCTTCAAGTTTCCTCCACACATGCAAGGTTTGTGGCTAGATATACTACATTAAGTTACTTAAAAATCTCTAGTTAGATAGTATTATTGTTCTTTTATTAAGGATATATTTTTGTTCACTATGTAGACATAAATGGAGATGACCGTTTAGCTCTATTAGAAAAATCAGTAGTATTTAGTTTTTAGTATGCGGTTATGGAGATTATTGAATTTCATTGAAATTCTGAATTGATTATTTAGTTATGCAACCATTGAAAACCTGAAAGCACTAAACATCCATCTTGTAGTAGTATGGGACGTTTCAGCAATTCATATCCACAACCCCTAGTCAGGAACCATATACAATACCTTCGATCGTACATTCATAGGGTTAACTAGGTTTGAACACTATTAGACTCTGGCTCAGTAGTTCAGAGATTAAGCGTTCGGTTGTGAGGTCAAAGGTTCTGGATTCATTTCCTAACGATAGGTCGTGGATGCGGCTTACTAAAGAATCACATACCAGGACGAGATGAATGTCCAATGCTTTCAGGTTTTCAATAGGTATTAAACTAAGATCAATTCGTGATTCCAATGAAATACTTCATTTATTTGACCAGATAGCAACCAGTAATTGTATAATTTTGTTTATTTGTTTGTCTTTTCTATTCAGTATAAAATCAAGACAGATTCATTACGTTACGTAATGAATTTATAATTCTTTATACTTATGTTATCTCAAATAAATAAATTAATGCCATTATTGACATTTATGACAGGTCTAATGAGACAAATTTATTAAGATTGTTTTGTCAAACCAAATTCTAGTGAATTTATTCATATATACAACCGTATATTCTGTTTATATAATAACAGAGTATTTAGCTTTATGGAGTTTAGTAGTACTGTTATACGAGTATTCGTGTAAAGTATCATTAACTAACCATTATATATGTATATATATCATAAATTATCATAGATTGATTGTTAGTTATACCTTTCATTACAAAATTAATCACGTCCTAAATGTTTTGATTTATGAATTATAAAAGTTATCCATTGTAGTTTCTATATATCAATGACGTGTCAGGATGCTGATTTTCGCATACTCTTTTTGGATTGATTTTTGTTCGTGTGTACAGTACAGTTTATACAGAATTATCCATATCATTGATAAGCCATTTATATAGTAAAATTAATATTATTTAATAAAATTAGTCATAAACAATGGATGCTAGTAAGCTGTTCATATTTATTTAACATTCTTAGACATAGTTATGTGTAATCACCTTGGTAACAATGTTTAATTAGTTTTACAATTATTTCATTCAGGGTAACAAATCAATATACATTTAATAATTAATAAACAACACCATTGGATGCCGGCTCAGTGGTCTAATAATTAAGCGCTCGCGCGCGAGACTGGTAGGTCCTGGGTTCGAATCTCGCGTGGGCGGGGTCGTGGATGCGCACTGCTGACGAGTCCCATACTGGAACGAAACGGTCTTCCAGTGCTTCCAGGTTTTCCATGGTGGTCTAGCTTGATTTGACTCATGCTTTTAACTATTGAAATTTCTAAAATTTCCACAAAACCCCTTCTAATAATAAATAATGCTTGAATTCTAACCCATTACGATTCTATCTTATTAATAAGGACCAATGATTTGGTTGCTTTAATAAATATCATTACATAGTGATGTCACTTACACTGGTTTATTAAAACAGTTGGTTAGTTTGAATGAATGGGAATCGCATACTATAAAGTATGAATAAGATGGGGTTTTTTTTAACTTACTTGACGTATTGTCATAAAGAGATGTTCATTTGATCATTGTTTTGGTTTGATAAAATATAATCATTTAGAGAATTCATTTACTATTAATGTATTAGAGTATCATTCTTAGATAGTGAAATTTTCATAAGTGAAGGTACTGTAGATAATTCAATTTTGAAAACCTTATCATAAAGCTAAATGAGAGAACTTTAACAGAAAAAACGGGATATATATATATATTTTTAAAACATGTTCTTTAAATTATAGTTATAGAACATGTGTTAAGTAATACAATTCATATGATAGATACAAGACAAGATGTTGTTATTAGGCAAAAGTTGTTTTTTGTGTTTTCAGATGCTGACTCCTTATGAAAGTAATTTAACTGATGACAAGACTTCAACATCATTGTTACCAGCCAATTAAACTGGTATTTGAACACGTAAAATGTGGACTACTTGAGGATAGAAGAGATTAACAGTCAATAATAACGGTTTTATTATGGTTGCTGTTACTAGTCTGGGTGGTTTAGTCGTGAAGCTTTCATTGTTTTTCTAGAAAAAATTGTACATGAAGTTGGTTCTGATGATATTCTTTGGAAAGATAATGAGAGATCTATGACAAAATCACCCAGTCGAGAGAATACAACTTCACCAAAAATTGGATTTTAAACGTATTCGTACTGATAGCTGGATAGTGTTCAACGTCATATATATCAAGTCCTAAGTGCTTATCTAAGCAGGAATATGAGCATTAGTCTGAATGTCTCGAAAACACATGCACTTTTTTGAGATGGAAGAAAGGTATACTTGTAATCTTGAGAAAACTGATGCTACCTGGTGGATTCGACTCTGCGTCATGCGCGCTCACAGTCATAGACATATTCTTTTAAGATAAATACTCGGCCATTGGCAAATTATTTAACTTAATTAAATATTATTATAAATGATTAAACCTAAAGTCGGTTACACTCAATAATTCAGTAATTAAATCAAACCTTTGTTATCAAGCATCATTTTCGGCCATCGTTTCAATAAACTTGTATCTTATGTGTAATAACAATTATATACATATAGTTCTTTTGATAACTAGAAGCCTAAATATTCATTTATACGTTTCTACCATATCTGTAGTATCAACTGAAGATTTCGCTAAAAATCAATTAATTAATTTAGTACTTCGACCATATGATGGAAAATTAATATGGGAATCATCATCATCTCAAATTATTCCATCAAATAATGATAATTTTAGTAAACTATTCATCATATCACCTGAACAGTTGATAATACAACCACATGAAGAAGCTACAATTACAATTTTAATGAATCCAATAGAAGCGTATTCAGATATGAAATATTATGAAATTTTCAATTTAAAAGCTCATATAATTGGTTATTTAACTATAGATTCAAAATATTATTTGGATATTCCACGTACACATGCATTAATCACAGAACAATTACGTTTTGATATAACTGCTAAATTGGAACAACCTAGGTAAATTGTTTTACTTGGAAACTGTTTATACGAATTAGGTGTTGTTTTTTGTTGTTGTTCATAATGAATAGTTCATGTTCGTTCGTGAGATTATCTGAAATTGTTTTAATGTTTTTACTCAATTAGATGCTTATTATTTCTTCTTGATTCAATGAGTAGTATGTAATTTTGGTTAAAGAAAATATCTATTATTTTGTCTACTATAATGGTGAACAGTGTAATTCAACTACTTGTAATAGTTACTGAATAGTTGAAGGAATCAATAATATGTTCAAGGCTAAGTTGACGTAAGTTTATCTCATTTCAGTCAAGTATTAACATGAACTCTCACACTTAAAATAATTTGATCTTAAATCTCATGCCTAAACAATATTTAAAATGAGTTGTATAAACTGAAATGATTTGTTCATAAAGCCGAATCGCTTTATTTTTTCATTCGAAACAATGATACACAATAATTTATATGAAAATGTGTAAGATGGAAAATAACACACTGCTAGGTTTGAAGCTATCACGAGTTCACTTAATCGGCGGACAAGAACAAGACTTGGTGGCCAAAGGCCAGTAAACTATCTATCGACGTCCCCAACACACATATATTCCTAACTTTTATAAAATAATGATAAAGATGAGAAACTCATATGTATTTGTTAAAAATTTAAATAACAATACAATCCAGAATGCACGTTTCATCATACTTTGATCATGTCATTTGGATGCGACTGCATCTTAGTTAATGTTGACAGCTAGATTTTAACATTTCTCTTCGAAAGCTCAGTTCGTTATCCACTGATCTACTGAGTTCAGATAACCGCTAATCGTTCAATAGATATTATATTTGTGTCATGATTAGTAAGGTTTTAGATTGTACTCTTGTTGATGTTCAAGACTAAATGTTTTCCAGTCTTCATTGATATTTTAGTGAACAGAACGCGGGCTGGGACCATCGAATGTATCTGACACAAAATTACAGGACTTGTTAATAAAATCTAACAATCATAAAGTGAATGCTTAATTTGCAAAATGTCCACCAATTGTCTCATAATGACTCAGACTTCATTGTTCTTGCATTTTCATACAAATTGCATTTTGTTTCCATTCTTTACTGTTCGATGCTCTTGTCACTCTGCTGCCAGACCTTCTATTCACGACTAACATCATATACTACTTATGTCAATATAAGTAGCACACACCACACTCGTCTCCCCCTTTAAAGCAGTCGTTCTTGCGGTGGTCCATGCTTGCCGTGCCACATTCTTCGTCTCTGCAGTCTTTGCTACTCTCTCCGTCAAAATGTCGAGTCTACGACGCGCTGACCTCTATAGCTCCGTCGACCTGCCGGGGCGACAACACCCGACATCCACCCGGCACCTGAGATGCTTAACACCCGTGCTTCACCGACCTTCTGAGTCATGTACATCCGATGTCCGCCCAGCAGCCGCACTTCCCTCCGCTCCTCTCCGTTGACAGCACCCGCTATGTAAATAATAAATAGACATCATATGTCAGAATAAAATGTATAGTGGTTTTCAATGTGTGATAGTGATCTATTCCTGAATAAATATTAAATCTACAAAATGCTTATGATATGGTAAATAAATAATTCTTTTTGAAATATACAGAAAGAAGAATAAGCTACTGATCTAGATCATTCCAATGATCAAATATGATAACCTTTGAACATTTGGCATACAATTTTCTAACTTTATTCATTCAAGTTCAAATTTCATAGAATTTCATTCATAGTAACCTACATATCAAGACTTATATGTAAGAGAACAGGAGTCAGATACTGTAGTATTAGATATATTTCTAACTTTGGAAAAAAAAATAAAACTTTTGTAGATAACTTTATTGATTGTTTCTTATAGAAACACGGCTTAGTATTCAAGGTTACCGACTGTTTCGCATTTTCAGTATGGGGGTTGTATGTTTTTCATACTTATATATTAAAAAGTATGTATACTAATAATGTAGTTATTACGTTTGTCTTTCTGTTAAGTCTATGGAATGCTTAACTGACTAGTGCTTCATACTAAGACTCCAAATCAGAAGATGCTTAATGGAAAACAAATGCTTGTTTTAAGGTTTGATTTATGAACCAAAATAAATCCAAATGATGTATACGTACACTTTCTCAAATTCACAAACAGATTTGTATAGTTTGACTGAGGATTATTTAATGTCAATCAACCAATAATTTAATATGAGAACACATATTAGTAATATCAAACTGACTTGATTTTGCTCTTTTAGTCCCATCATATTAGTAGTAAAACAAAATCTAGGTATGACATGCAGTGTCGAACCAGTGTTTATTTGGAAATCGTAGATAGCTATACGTTGATTGCACAAAACATTCAAGATTTATTGTTTAAACAAAAGTTCATGTTGCTGATATAAGGCATTTCTTTCTGTAAAATAATGACTAGAACAATGAAATAAGTAAATTAAGTACTTATATGTCGAAGCTAGGCTAATCTTAATGGCAAAGGCTATTGTTGATATGATACTCAAAATCATTTTATCATTAGCAGGGATATTCCTAATCTATCTAAAGTTTTGTGGAGATCAATTTAATTTGCAACTAGTATCCATCACCGATTGATCACGGCTAATGTACTACTGTAAAACAGGCAGCAGTGAACAGCTATTCCCACTCCACTCCAGTGGTTCTAAAGGTCAAATATTCTACACAAAGCCTGAAAACCCTGGTCGTTGATACAAACCGCTAAGGAGTTCCATACTAGAACAAAACATCTGTCCATAGCTCTCTGCTTTCTAGCCTTATCCTAATTGATATCAATCTATTGGTTATGGAATATACATATTCCCGATTTGAATAAAGCCAAAACAACAATTGGAGCAGAATAATATGAATTCATCATATTCCATGTATTATCGTCATCTGTTACAGCGATTATATATATATACATATTCAACGCGTATTCACTTTAATCCGAACATACGTCCTAAATAGAACAAAATCCTATCGGTAGTTTAACAGTCCGTCTCTTGAAAGCTTATAAATAGCTCTTAGTCTGATATTAAATATTAATTTTGTTTTTTATTAAACATAATATTGATTTCAAAACAGACTCATTATTGATCTAAACAATAATCCCTTGGAAATTGTAAGCACGTCTCCTAATCCTCCACGACCAAGGATTCTGCATTTTAAATCAGGATTAGGACAGTTTCTTGTTAATTCCCTGAAAAAGAAAGCAGAAGAAAACACGGTTAGTGTACCTAAAAACTATTCCTACCAATCCAAGAATTCGGAACAAGTTAATCAACGAACGCAGATTGAACGAAGAATTCCACGTACACTTCTGAATGAAACCAACTGTTTACTAATAAGTAGTATAGTCCTTTTACGCGACATTCACATAAGATGCCCAAATAGTATACCAGTCACAATCTGTATAAAAGCAAATGAAACGAAGTATTTGGGATTTCATGTTAGAGAGGAAAAACCATACAATACGAACGAAGATGATGGTATCATTACAGACTCGCAAGATGATAATTTGACAACAGTGATGCCAATGACAAAAATGTCGTTTGAGCAACTCTATAAACCACAAATCACCTTAACTCTCAACCCAGGTAAATTACAAAAGGTAAGTTCAAATAACAATTACTAACATGAGATAATATATACTGAATAAGATGTAAGGTAATGAATAATAAAGATCATACAAAGGAATACTACAAAATAAAACAAAGCTTAGAGAATGATAAAACATAGAACTTATGTTTTGTTGTAATTAATATTAAATAATGGTATACAAACTGTAATCAGTTTAATATTTTCCTAAAATTTCACAGTTTACTTCTTTTAAGATTTATTCGACACAAAACTGTATTATAAAAATCAATATATGATTTTTTTTTACTTAGTTTGAGGGCTTACACCTTACAGCTTTCTATAAATATTATCCAGGTCGTGTATGGTCTTACCATTTGTAAGCTATACTCACTTGTTACAATGTATTTAAATTCAATAGGCCCTATACCGCATCCATAATGTAATATAAAAGGAACCGTATAGCACAAAACTCACTCTATGATAAGAAGATTAAAATTCAATTTGCAGCTTATATAGTACACTCTAAGTAAGCTGATTTTCTATTTACATTGACATTTCATCAATCATCAAGCAACTAGAACTAGCTGATGGATATAGATGACGCAATCAACTCAATTACAAATTCATTTACTATAGTCAGCTTGAACATCGATACTGGTTAGTTATAGAGGTCTATACTTTTTTTAGAAGAAAAGAAATGCATCATAAATACATTTACATTCTTATTTCCATTGGATTGAAATTCAACCAATTTTATTTTGTATTTAACCCTACTATGTTTGTACAATATTCATCGATATAGTGTAGGTGTTATGTCCCGATAAGCATAATAAATGGTAACTTTAGTGATCCATTTATGAACCGATACTATGCGTATATTTTTATCGTATAATCGTTAGATAACAAAACTATTCATATTCATGTCCCTCTTATTATGAGCTTCATTTCGATCTATGAACTATTATTACACCATTTACCATTCTTGAATTATGCCCTGTATATTAATCACTACTACCTTCCACATTCACAGCCACATCTGGCTAAATGTTGCACAAATGTTGTTCCATATTTTATGGTACGATGTGGTCTGTCTGGTTGGTATATAAACCGAGTATGTTTGAAGTAAACGACTGATATCACGTAGGCTGATATTTGTGTTCTGAACTCAACTGACTGTGCTAGGCAGGAAACAGGATCAATAAGGACTCTAGACTGTTCGTACGTGTTTTGTGTGTCATTACTTTCTTACTTACGCCTGTTACTCCTAATGGAGCATAGACCGCCGACCAGCATTCTCCAACCCACTCTGTCCTGGGCCATCTTTTCCAGTTCCATCCAATTCTTATTCATTTTTCTCATGTCTATCTCCATTTCCCAGCGTAATGTGTTCTTTGGTCTTCCTCTTTTCCCTTGGCCTTCAGGATTTCATGTGAGGGCTTGTCTTGTGACACAGTTCGGTGCTTTCCTCAATGTGTGTCCTATCCACTTCCAGCGCTTCTTCTGATTTCTTCCTCCGCTGGGATCTGGTTTGTTCCCTCCCACAGTAGGTTGTTGCTAATAGTGTCCGGCCGACGAATCCGTAGTATTTCGCGTAGAAAACTGTTAATAAACACTTGTATCTTCTGGATGATGGCTTTCGTAGTTCTCCAGGTTTCCATTCCCATACAGTAGAACTATCTTGACATTTGTATTGAAAATTCTGACCTTGGTGTTGGTCGACAATTGTTTTGAGTTCCAGATGTCCTTCACGTTGTAAACAGGCTGCTCCTGCTTTATCGATCCGCACCTTCACATCTGCATCAGATCCATTGTGTTCATCAATGATGCTGCCCAGATATGTAAAGCATTTTACATCTTTCAAAGCTTCTCCGTCAAGTGTGATTCGATTGTTGCATGTTGTGTTGTATCGGAGAATCCTGCTTTTCCCTTTGTATATGTTGATAGCTACTGATTCTGTGGCTGGTGCTACACCCATCATCTTTTCCTGAATTAGTTGTTGCGTGTGTGATATAGGAGCCAGATCATTTGCGATTTTGTGTGTCATTGGTTCGATCGATAATTCACTGCTCTCCAATTGGCGGTACCATTACTTTAGACATTAACAGGCCATACAGACTCCAATTTTGAACAGTAGGTGCTTTTTTAGTACTTGATTAAAATCATTTTAATTTCCGTATCGATTAATGTAATATTTCAAGTTACATAAGACTAAAAAATAATTATCTAATTCATTCAAACAAAGTTGTGAAACAAAAAAATAAAGTAATAAACACTTCAATTTAAGTGTTATACATAATAGTACATTCATTTTTACGTATATCTGTCAATTGACGAAATCTTAATCATGTGATGAACAACCTTTTACTTAAGTATATTTAACACATGGGTATTTCAGTTGTTTGTGTATCTAGTTAAAACATTTAGAAAAAGTACAAAGAATCTAATTTTAAAAAATACATAAATTATTAAGATTAATTAATCAATTCATTAATTATTTAAACAAGATATTTATTGTTTACAAATGGAAAGGATCAATTCTTGCCGTAATATGAAAAGTAATTTAGGATAATTACTATTATTCACATTTAAATGTATTCATCCATATAACATTATTGAACATGTGGATTTTGTTCATTGAATTCGCTAGTCGATCTAAGCTAGACCATCATGGAAAACCTGGAAACACTGAATGATTGTTTCATCCTAGTATGAGACTTCTCAGCAGTGTGTATCGATGATTATGCACGTGGGACTTGAACCTAGGATCTCCGATTTTCTGACTAAGGAATTCAATTGTCAAAACACTACATTCTCTACAAATCCTGATACTGATAAATTGTTAATTATCAATCACATTACTGAATTATGTTGTGTCCAGTGAAGTTCAACCGGGTCTGTTGTGACGTAGTAACTCATTGAAGAAAATGGTGAACGGTGGCTTAATTTTGTGGATTGGTTAAAGTTAGACATTAACACCATAGGATGCCGGCTCAATGGTATAGAGGTTAGACGTTCGTGCGCGAGACTGATAGGTATTGTGTCCGAATCCTGCAGAGCAGGATCGTGGATGCGCACTGCTGAGAAGTCCTATATTAGGACGAAACGGCCTTCCCAGTGCTTCTAGGTTTTCCTTGGTGATCTAGCTTCAATCGACTCATGAACTCAACTATTAAATTAATACAATATCCACAAAACCCTTTTCTGATCATTTAAATCGATTATTTTTATGATTCTTGTCATTCTCTATACTAGTTGAAGTGATCAAACGAACTTTCTTAGTAAAAGTGACTAAACTGAGAAGCAAAGCATCTTAAATTTAAAATTCATTCATTCAAGTATAAAGATTATAATGATTAAAGTTTAAACTTTGTTAAAGTGTTAAAATCTTAATGTTCAATAATTCATGTTTTATTGTAACTTTTTATCATTTCTTATTCGAGTTTTACGTTTATATTCACATAATTAGTGAATAAACAATTAACAGTAGATATTTTATCATGTTATTCTGCTAGAATGTTTGTTCTTGCTCTTTTCAAAATGATAAAGGGAACTATGTGTATAATATTTGAAAGTGGTTAGCTAGATATTCCTTTATAAATGTAGTTATGGTCACTGATACTTAAAAGAAATACTGATTGGCAAATATGTATAATGTATTAGTTACATGAAAATATATGTTACATTCGTTCATAACTGTAATTGTAAAATTTATTGTATAGTTGTTATGGAGTGAGTGAATCAAACAAAACTGTGATTGATCTTAATTATTTGATTGGTTTTATAAACATTAGATAATAATAATGATAATCAGTGTTCAATAAACGCTTAATAAATTTCACAGGTTGAAATCATGAGTCAGTTGAAGCTAGACCACCATTGAAAACCTGGAAGCACTGGACGGCCGTTTCGTCCTGGTATGGGACTCCTCAGCAGTGCGCATCCACGATCCCGCACCATTGGATGCCGGCTCAGTGGTCTAGTGGTTAAGTGCTCGCGCGCGAAGCCAGTAGGTCCTGGGTTCGAGCCCCGCGTGGTGCGGGATCGTGGATGTGCACTGCTGAGGAGTCCCATACCAGGACGAAACGGCCGTCCAGTGCTTCCAGGTTTTCAATGGTGGTCTAGCTTCAACTGACTCATGATTTCAACCTGTGACATTTCTAAAACTCTCCACAAAACCCATTCTGAAAATGCTTAATAGTTGTACACTCTCAACATTTCTGAATATAAAGCTCTACTCTAGATAGATGAATGGATATTGTGTTTGTAATTCAAGCCTAAATAACTATTGAGAAACTACTTTAACCTTACAGTATTTAAATATGATCGACAGTGTTGATCCATTTAGATGACTGATCAGATTTAGTGGTCTTAATTTAGCATAAGATAGTAAAGAGTTTAAAATTATCTACCTAAACCAAAAGTTAAGATTTTATTTTATTCAATATTAGTTGTATATTTTATCCACAATTAATTTAACCAAATCTTGGTTTCATTCTGTTCTTCTTCATCACCTACTATTCATGATAAATTCCACATTTGTACACTGTAAAAATTGTTGTTCGTTAAAAAATCTATTGTGTAATGTAAATTTAAATGTTATTTCGAACATTAGTGGTAATTTTAATCGAAAAATTAAAATCAGTCGAGGTAACATGAAAATCAAAGAACTAAAAATAAATAATCTTACCGTTTGAGACTAATTGTTAATGTACGAACTAAATTTGATTTAGTCTAAAACCGTTAAGCCTCTTGATGAAAAGCAAATCATTAGACCAATGAGTCGAATCATATTATTCAGCATGGATACTTAATACTAAGCAGTCGTAAAATGAATCGGCTGTCTGATTTTTGTCAATGTTCATCCTTGGTTACATCTGTGAGATATCCTTTGGTCTTGAGAAGGTTAGGCAGAGTTCATAGCACATATTCCCTAAACTTCTGCAAGTAGTATTCATTGTATATATAGATAATTTTCACAGTTTTTTTGAAATCATGAGTCAGTTGAAGCTAGACCACCATTGAAAACCTGGAAGCACTGGACGGCCGTTTCGTCCTGGTATGGGACGGTGGCGCAACTTCGTGGATTGGTTGAAGTTAGACATTAACACCGTTGGATGCCGGCTCAGTGGTCTAGTGGTTAAGTGCTCGCGCGCGAAGCCAGTAGGTCCTGGGTTCGAGCCCCGCGTGGTGCGGGATCGTGGATACGCACTGCTGAGGAGTCCCATACCAGGACGAAACGGCCGTCCAGTGCTTCCAGTTTTTCAATGGTGGTCTAGCTTCAACTGACTCATGATTTCAAAAAAAACTGTGAAAATTCTAAAATTCTCCACAAAACCCATTCTGATAATATAGATAATTATTATTATTATTGGTACTTGTTTGTTATCACTTCTTCAATATCGGTTATGTTTTTTTTTCTTAATCTATTTATAGATAACAGTTGGTTATCTGTTAGAAAAGGATTTATGCCTTCATAATATCAATTCAAATAATTTGACAGATTCGGCAAGCAGCTTACAGGTAATTATTATTTATGTATATATGCATGAAGATTTTCGCATTGTAGTGAACAGAACACGGATGGGGACAATCGAATGTATCTGACACAAAATTACAGGACTTGTAAATAAAATCTAACAATCATAAAGTGAATGCTTAATTTGCAAAATGTCCACCAATTGTCTCATAATGACTCAGACTTCACTGTTCTTGCATTTTCATACAAATTGCATTTTGTTTCCATTCTTTACTGTTCGATGCTCTTGTCACTCTGCTGCCAGACCTTCTATTCACGACTAACATCATATACTATTTAAGTCAATACAAGTAGCACACACCACAGTATTACTTTGAAAAACGAAAAAAAGAACCATAAAACTAGGGGCTACAATAATAGTTTATCAGATTACCTCAATATATATTATAAGCAACAAAGGAGAGAGAAAACAACATTTCTTAAAAACAGAATTTGTATGAAACAAGTTGGATTACGGGAGGAAAGGGTTTATGCTTTACCAAAGAGAAAGTATTAAGCAGCGATAATAAGATAATTGTTTCATTAGTACTACTGTGGTGTGTACAAATGATGTCGACAGATATAAGTAATATGTATCACCGATCGAAAGTGGAATGCCTGGCAGCAGAAGCATGAGAAAATCAGAGAGAAAAGAACAAGAACAAAGTGTAATCAGTATGGGGACAAAGGAATAATCAAGCCTGAAACAATTAATTGACACTTTACAATTGAAGTATTTACTGTATGGTTCTTAGATTTGACGAAGATATTCTGTAATTTTATATACAAATACATTCTGTTGTCCCCACTTGTGTGTTCTCGTTTACCACACTACTACTAATACGTCGATTACAGATGCTAAGCCAATCCATTTATGATTTCAAATAACTAATTTTGTATAGTGTTTAGTATCATGTTGCCTAGTATTCATTACGTTTAATTCACTAGACTAAGTTGGTGAACATCTCTGATTTAAGATTTTTTGAGAGGAAATATTCAGCCTGTGTTTCATTTCAATTGGCTGTCGTATGGAAGGTTTATATACAACTATGTGAGAACTTATGTTTTTGAAAAATCTGAATTTATGTTATTACGGTTTCAAGACAATCGAAGGTATTATTATTAAACTATTAATTTACCAGTTGACGATTATAAATACTATATGCAGCTATCAAACTTTAAAAACTGCTAAGATTGTTTAGTATCTATTCCTTCTGAAGTATTCTTTTTTTGACGATATTCAAAGTCACTTTAACAAATTAATCGTGTTATTTTCGTTTTTGTTATCTCTTAAAAACTCAAATACGCAAATTAGACTGAGTATCTTATCGGGAATGGCTCAAACAAGAATTTACACATTTTTGGAAAGATAACGTTTTACTCACACACATTTATCGTACTTTAAACTGAAAGTTTTGCTTAGGTGATGATTTATGAAGATTCTTCGAGTTTCATGTAATGCACTTTATGATGACTGACATCATCTGGTGTAATTTAAAAATAAAGAAAATAATTGATAATGTTTCAGTTTAGTTTGATACTCATCATCAGTGCCCATTCAACTAGGGGAGGACATAGGCAATTCAGGTGTTTGTGACAATAATATCACCCTATCTAATCGAAGAACAATCTCTTATTGACTATGTCCTCCCCTCGTTGAGTGGGCACTGATGATGAGCATTAAACTAAACTGAAACACCTATCTATTGTTCTCTTTATTTTTTTAAATTTCACCAGATGATGTCAGTCATCATAGAGTGCATTACATGAAACTCGAAGAATCTTCATAAATCATCACCTAAGCAAAACTTTCAGTTTAAAGTACGATAAATGTGTGTGAGTAAAACGTTATCTTTCCAAAAATGTGTAAATTCTTGTTTGAGCCATTCCCGATAAGATACTCAGTCTAATTTGCGTATTCGACTTCTTAAGAGGTAACAAAAACGACAATAACACTATTCATCTCATGGTTACGTCACCCATTCATGTATAATCTCAAGATGATTTTCACTACAAAATTACATAAACATATAACCAAGTCAACTTAATCTAGGAACTGATCATGATTGAAGTTACGCATGAGTATTGTTAAAAAGCTCAGTCAGTCAGTCAGCTACAACGTAGGACCAGGCACATATATGCATTGGTCCAAGTTGGGATACCTCATTAACACAACAAGATGGACACCGGATTCATAAAAGTAGTTAATTTAGAGGTGGTAATATATAAAAGAAAGATTGCAATAAGGATATAGTACAGGAAGAAAGAATTAGTTCGTAGAAAGAAAGATATTAAGCAACTTTAATCTCTTAGTTTAAGGGAAGATAGAGAGTGTATACACCGACGCCATTGTGATCGATTCTGAGCCATGTCACCAAGAGTCTCCAACCATTGGTTACGATAGTCACGCGCACCCCAACCAAGTAGTTTGCATCTACCAACATGGCTCAGACTAGAAGTTAGTGACTTCAAGCACTGATGCCACTTTTGGTTTGGCCACCCCTAACTTTCTTCCAACCATCCCCAATACCGGATAGCATTGCACGTCGTGGTAATCGGTGTTCGGTCTCAAAAATTGGATGAAATATTCATTAAACTAGTTCGTAATATTATCTCTTGTGAACATGAGTTCATAATGAAAATTATCTTCGTATTAAATTATTTTAATTTGGTAATGAATTTCAAACTGAACAGATATGATTTGTTTTAATCAATAAAAAGAAAACTAATTCTCAATTTTCAAGTCTTCCTTGAATTAAATATAAATATGAGAACGGGTGTTTGTGAATATTATAATAATTTAAATAGTTAAGATCATGATTCAATTGAAGCTACGCCAACGTGGAAAACCTGGAAGCACTGAACTGCCGTTTCATCCTATTGTTGGACACCTCAGTAGTGACCACTAGAGTTCAACCATGTTTGTCATAAAATAGTAACTCACTGAAGACAATGATGAATGTATCGCTCAATTATGTACATTAGTTGAAGTTAGACATTAACACCATTAGATACTGGCTCAACAGGTCTAGAGGTTAAGCGTTTGCGCACAATACCAATAAATCCTCGGTTTAAATCTTGTAAGTCAGGATCGTGATTTCTCACTGTTAATAAGTTCCACAATAGAAAGAAACAACCTTTCAATCCTTCCAAGTTTTCCAGTGTGGTCTAAATTCAATTAAAAATCATAACCTCAACTATAAAATATAAGTCATCTAAATTATTTCAATAATTGATTTTCTTTTTTTTTTAAATTAAAATAATTAATTAATTATTATGATTTGATTTAGGTGAATGAATCTTATTTCATTTTAAAAAATGAAATTTTATTTCAATTTAATCATTTGAATCATAATGATATTCAATCAAATTTCAATAATTCAATAATCAATTCTTCAATAATCAATAATAATAATATAAATGATCTATTTAAATTATATACACAAATTACAATTATTCGACCAAAATTTAAATTATTTCCTAATGATAATTTAAATTTTCATACTATTTTAATTGGACAAATAAAAAGAATGGAAATTAAAATTCAAAATTTAACACAAACTTCAACATTTTGGTCAATACAACAATATGATATAAATAGTAAGTTGGATGATTTAAACAAAACAAACTCTGTACACATAGTATTGTTTTGCTTGAATCTTTATTATCAGAAGGTCTTTGTGGAGATTTCGGAAATTTCACAGATTGAAATCATGAGTCAATTGAAGCTAGATCACCATGGAGAACCTGGAAGCACTGGACGGCCGTTTCGTCCTAGTATGGGACTCCTCGGCAGTGCGCATGCCGGCTCAGTGGTCTAATGGTTAAGTGCTCGCGCGCGAAACCAGCGGGTCCTGGGTTCGAATCCCGCGGGTTGCGGGACCGTGGATACGCACTGTTGAGGAGTCCCATACTAGGACGAAACGGCCGTCCAGTGCTTCCAGGTTTTCCATGGTGATCTAGCTTCGATTGACCCATGATTTCAATCTGTGAATCTTTATTATTATCATTAATATTATTATTAAAAATGTCTTTATTCAATATTATATTTTGGTATAATATAGAATTCTCAGCACAGGGTATTTCAACAAGTTACTTACGCAAAAAAAGTGACAAAGACGAAAAAAAGGAAAAGAAAGTTCAGAAAAGAAAACCTAAAAAACTGTACAACTTCTCAAATTAGAGACATGATTAAGAATGCAGGTTATTATTATTATTATTATTATCAGCTTTATTCAATATTATATTTTTGGTACAATATAGAATTCTCAGCGTAAAGTATTTCAACAAGTTTCCGTTTCTTTCTTCTTGGTCGGTCCTGGCCATAAATATTCAGTGATCGCCAGTTAGATGTTAGCAGTTCAGTAAATGAACATCTGAACAATGTGCATTCTTTTCGCTGTATATTGCCAGCAACCACGTTGGCTCTTATTGAGTTTTTTGTAACTTTGACAACGAAAGGTTGTACACTTTTCAGAAACGCAGCAGAATGGGTCATGCGATTAATATACATATTGATATATTAAAACAAACAAAAATAGATAACTTGTTGAAATATCTAGATGGCAGGAACAGGTAGCCCAGATGCTCAAGCAGGCCGCCTTTGTTGTTATTGACTAGGTTAACTCTAACAACCTGTTCTTCACAGAGTATATTTGCTATGTAAGGTATTATAGAACTTTTATACTTTTGCTTGCGTGCATGGATTTTAATGTATTTACATCTTGTTCTACCAGAGGATATATAAGTAGAAAGATATGAGTGAAGGGGATGGTTAGTATCTGATATGATAACACCTGCCAGGAGTTTGCATGACTTTAGATGTCTATCCACAACCATCTTAATTATGACTTCGAAAGATTCACCACACATCATGCTAACTCCTTCAGCACTCTCCGCAATACAGCAAAGTCTTTTCATTGATGTTTAGAATTGCAACTGATTATCAGTTTGTTATAGGTATATATGCATACTGTGCATATTGTCTCGATATAACCTTAATTCACAAGCATTACATGGATAGTGGCTAGCTATGGAATCCAGGACACATGTTTTGTTTTATTTAGTACTGATCAATTACAGTCCTAAACATCAATGGTAAAATTTAAACAAACATTATCAAGTAGATTTAAACTTTAGCCCATTAAACAAGTAAGTGGCTATAAGGACTCAGTAGCTAAGTGGATAGCGAGACGACACTGAGTTCGAACCCCAGAGTGAACATCAACTTTGAGGTACAGGTACATCTAGGTGACGTGTCCCAAATAGGACGAAATCTGCGTCATGGTTTCCACTTCTAGCTACTATAATTCTTTGCATATAAAACAGTTCAATGTAATAGAAGATCTAATAAATTCAGATTTTTTTATTAGATAAGTTCAAAATATAAAATACTTATCTTCCACCTACTAACTACTAAAAATATTTGACCTTGATAAGAGATTGGCTATTTATTGACAAATGAAATGATAGTAAATTATTCAAGGTTATTCCTATTCAGGTATCAAGGGTGTAAATGATATGAAAATAAGGCTAGATTTTATTAAATAAGAAACATATTCTTTTAATCATAAATCTATTTAGGATATTTTAAGTAATACTTTTTATAAATTCTTTCCCTTTTCATAAATTTCATCGAATCTTATTGAGTAAATTACTATAAACACATAGATGGTAATTATATCCGTTATATATATATATATATACTACTGTATTATTGTATGTTAATATTATGTAAAATAGGGCACCGTATGATGGGGAAGATAAGTCAAAGCAAAATTAATTTTAATGGTGAATCCTTTATAAAAGTCTCTCTTTAATATTCCAGTTGAACTATTTCAACAATATTTTATAATGTTATAAATTAAGATGTTATGATTGAATGAATGAGTATTTAATTATTAAAAGGAAAGAAATAAAATCCTGGTCTACAGTTAATGAGAGATGATGTAACTTGATCGATTGATGATTACACGCAAGAACTTAATTATTGACGTATACTGTCCCACATGAATCAGTGGAAGTTAATGACAAGATCACTAACCAGAAGAATAGGTCCTCTTTTTTAGAATAAAATAACATGTTTATTTGCTATCTAGTAGAAGAAAATAAACATGATAGATTGTCATAGATAGTTAGAGGAAATTATTTTGTAGATCATTCACTCTCTATAAATTAAGATTTGACTGTTAGAACTAGTTCTTGGACATCATACCATAAGAAACATAATGGTCACTTCTCTGGAACCACGTATTCCAATGTTAGTCATATCGCATTAGTACGACGAGATGAAGTGCATTAGATTACATGTTAAGGCAAGAGTTGCTTAGGTATACTAAACACTTGTCTCAGCCACCTCAGTCGATGACGAATTACATTTTCATCTACCGGACTACCTAATACCTAATAATAATCATCGGGACTGCTCATTTTACGTGTTCATTCGTAAGTGAACAATACTTTGAAGATACATGTGATCAAAATCCTGAAGACTACGTCATACTTCATGTATGATAGATCATTTTTACAGTTGTACTACTAATCATAAGTAGATTTCTGCTCACTATAGTTACTTTTACTTGTTAGTCTTGTCATATTCAATTGTTTATTATAAATAGTGTATGATTTCATGAAAAGAAGGTTTCATTTCTTTAAACAAGTCTTTAGAGATTAGCTTTTATTATAGATTTCTACAAATCGAAAATCAATTATATACAATATTCTATAACTATATTAATTTTTATTATCAGAATGGGTTTTGTGGAGATTTTTAGAAATTTCACAAGACCACCATGGTCTAGCTTCAATTGACTCATGATTTCAACTTGTATATTAATTTTTGTTACGTTTCGTTTTAACATCTTGATCTTAAGCGACTTAAAAGTAGTTTATATATAGTTGCCTTTATCATTTTGAAAAGAGCAAGAACAAAGATTCTAGCAGAATATCATGAATTCATTTTTATTTCGTAGGTTCTCGTCAGCTGCTTACAACCTGTGATATTTAAAATTACAATTACATAGTGGGTTTAAATTACTTACATGAAAGAGTTTGGCTAGAAGTTATATTGAAGACATATTCGCATAGTATAGCAAGGATGTAAATGAAATTAATAGACTGAATATTGTAAATATATGCCTTATGTGAAAGAACATTCTACAACACTCATTGTGACAACAGTTCAAACGGCTAGAAACAAGTGATTACATAATGAATAAACATTGATAGGAATACAGTGAGTAGAGCTCAGTTGATAAAATAAGATTAATAATTTAGAAGATAGTTGAAATAAAACTCAATAATGTAATAAATGCGAGAAAGAGTATTTGTCTCCAAGGCAAGGAAAGATTAATAACCTACGAAATAAAAATAAGTTCATGCTATTCTGCTAGAATCTTTGATCTTGCTCTTTTCAAAAGCAGTTTATGATTGAGATCATGAACCGGTTGATGTTAGACCACCTTTTAAAATCTGAAAGCACTGGACGACCGTTTCGCCCCATTGCGGGACTCCTCAGCAGTTCATATCCACGATCCCGCTCGTGGGATTCGAACCCGTGGCTTTCAGTCTTGCGTGAGAACGTTTAATCCACTGGTCCATTGAGCCGGCATCCAATGGTGTTAATGTCTAACCTCAACCGATCCACGAAGTTGCGCGACCACCTTCCATTGTACTGGTGGTCTAACATCAATCGGTTCATGATCTCAATCAAAAATTTAATCTCTACAACCCCTAAACTGAAAAGTAGTCTAATCAAATTTTCTTAAATTATACACATTACAATATCGACATTTTGTTTAATTTAGTGAATATATTCAAATAGATCTATGAATTGATGAACAGTAGTAATTCTTATTTTTAGAAAACTTTAATAAGATTTCTTTAATAAGGATTTTCCAATAGTGTCAAACTGATAGATTGACTTAGTTTTTCTTTATCAACAGTTTTATGAGGTCACATTTCTTTTCATTATAAGATAAAATCGATTGGTTAACCATTGGTTATAAGAATATGCTACCACTATATCAAATAACTGTGATTTCACAAAATATATCATTATTATTATTATTATAAACACAATAGTCAACAGGAAACTCTTAACCAAGGTTTCGTTCTACGTGGCACTCATCACTGGGTGGTGATCAATCTCATATATATCAGGTCCTTCTTAGTGCAGATCGAATCCTTTCGATCAAGTTGCAATGTGTCCATCAGTCTAGATGACTCAAAATTGCGTGGATTATGTTGAGATAATATGGTGGTTGGAGTTATTTAACAGGAAACTCTTAACCAAGGTATTGTGCTACGTGGCACTCATCAGCAAGGTGTACCTGTAATCTTAAGGGGACTGATGCTCACTGATGGATTCGATCCCTTATCACCTAGCTTCAAAGTCAAAATACAGTAGTAGTTTATTATAAGATATTTGTCTATTCGCTGAAAACAAAATGATATACTACATAGTTATTTTGTTCGCTATGACAAATGACATCAATGGTTATGGGGTGTATTTTGATTGTCTTTCATTAATCATAGTTGTATTTGGCAGAATGCTCGTTTACAGCGAAACCAACAAGTGGAAAGTGTTGAAAATAATATTAGATTACTATGAAAAAAATCAGTTGACGGTGTGAATGTTTATCTATGAAAGTTGTTGAAAAATATATTATATGAGCATATTATGCTAGATATTATATACTTAGGTGAGAAAGAGAATAGCAGAGAACAATCAATAGTATCAAATCACATAATGAAGTTAGTAACTGTTATTCTATAGCTTGTTGGGTTTTTTTTAAGCATCTAATAACTGTTAACGTTAGTTGACGGTGCTCAAAATCGATCGTATTTACTCATATGTACTTGTTTACCAGTTCCTGCTAAACTTTAAAGTTTACTAATATTACAGAAACTTTATTTCTCTTATTTATTCATGTTTGATAAACATTTTCTTTATTACTGATAGAAATTATATTTAAAATAATCTTAGCAACTAAAATTTAAATCATCTCAACTTTTTGTTATGTTCAGACTTTTTGATTGAACATAATATTTGGTTGACTTCACATTTTATCTTCTTAGATTTCTCTCAATTCTACTTTTAGAATGTATAAATTAGCGGGTAAATTAAAGCAATAAAGGTTTATATGCTTCTTTTCTATAATCATAAAATTGTTATTATCTCATCTTATTATTATCTAATTAATTGTTATTGACTACAATTAAAGAAAAATTATAAATAATAAAGTCATAAGATAAATTTAATTCAACTTACATAATAAGGTGATTTCTGTTGTTCTGTGATCTAACACCCATTACCTTACTAATCAATAAAAAATTTCTATAAAAGACAATAATCAAACGAAAATTACTCAGTCAATATAGCATGTGCTCACTAGTGACTAGCTTCGTGAGGGAGTTCTCGGAGTTCTGGTGAGAAGCCGTGACCAGTGGAGCTAATCCGTGTCGGGTAGAAACAAGTGCCTACCACAGTACAATGGAAGATGGTCGCACAACTTCGTGGATTGGTTGAAGATAGACATTAACACCATTGGATACCGGCTCAGTAGTGGTCCATTAAGTTAAGCGTTCGCATGCGAGACTGAAGGCCCTGGGTTCGAATTCCGCATGCGGGATCGTGGATGCGCACTGCTGAGGTGTCCCACAACAGGGCAAAACGGCAGTCCGGTGCTTCCAGGTTTTCAATGATGGTCTAACATCAATCGGTTCATGATCTCAATCAAAAACCTAACAATCTCCACAACCCCCAAACTGACTATATATATATATATATATATATATATATATATATATATATATAATGTTTAAAAATCCAACTTTTTGTGAAACTTAGCGAAGATTGGTGTATATCGTTTTCGTACAACCTTGTTTAATTTAAAGATGATCCAAACAGTTTACATTGAATAATCATTTTTATAATATATTGTTTTAAATTCTAATTAGATATTAATAATTAATCTCTTTAGTCATTTGTTAATGAGCTAAGCAATTTGTTGACTTGAATTATTTAATAAAAACAATCAAATTATTTTGGTTTTGATTGAGACCATGAACCAACCAATGTTAGACAATCATCAAATTTCTGGAGGCACTGGAAAGCCGTTCCGTTCTAGTGCGGAACTCCTCAGCGATACTCATCCATGATCCTGCACACTGGATTCAAAACAAGGATCTTCGTCCTAACATCAGTTGATCTATGATCTCAATCATAACTCAACAATCTCTATAACCCTATACTGATAATCTTGGTTTTATTAATTCACGCTCAATGACTATCATTATTAAGAACAACTTTAATTTCATTGAGGTTGTAGCTCCAATATTGTAGATACAAATAGGTGGCAATTTATTACATGTCGTCTGCTCCAAGTCGTTGTATATATATATAATGCTTAATACCTTCTTTTTTTTTGAGTTTCACATAAATCATTTACCTTCAATTAAACTAATCTCTTTAGATAATCAACAGGAAATAAATGAAAATAATGAAGACAATGTATTCATGGCAAATAAAATATCAGGCTATTTGAATCCATTTTCATCTAATGAAGATGGTTATTTTGATTTGATTACTGTAGAATTCAAACCAAGGTAATTTATAAATTTTAACAATTTAATCAATTAATAAATATTCAATGTTTTAATAACTCGTTTTTTTCAAACTCCACATACAAAAGGCTTGACCAGTCAGTCCGTTATATTCAACACAGAACCTGGTACCTTTATGCATCGGTTCAAGTTGATACACTAGTTTAAGTATAAGTAAATAAGATGCTAGAGTAGTATAAAAGTAGTCACAGCATCTATGATAATAGAAAAAAGTTGTCATGAACAATATAACACAAGAAATAAGGAGAAAATATAATGGTAAGTTATCATAAAATGAATGAAAGTTATCAGCACTAAATATTTCAAAACTAAAGAAGTTTCTTGTGGTGTTTGAATGAACTAATAATTCCTTTGTACTTGTTGAATGCTTGATTTCGAATTCTAAATACAGTACATTCGGTTGTGGTTATATAGTACTTCTTGATCCGATTACGTTATTTCTGAGATTCTTAGTTTATACTATAATTCAAATATTCCTAATCATCATATTTCTATCATATTTTTATGCTTTAAACCTAATGATTATGCAATTTAGTTGCTCATATCGATTTGCTTAGAGATGTACTGAACATATAACTGCTAGAAAATTGAAAGTTAAGTATTTATTTACTAAAGCAATCAAATTTCCAATCTCATTGACTACAATCATTCGAAACAAAGTGGTGAGATATAAATATTACTAGATGTAGATATCATAATGCTAAAAAAAACACTAGAAGAATTTAATTAACATCAATTACGAATCATAATATAAAGAACTTATAGAAGTTGTTTGAATCACGAACTTAGTTTGACCAATGTTAAACACCAGAAACTACTGAACATCTGTTTCATCCCAATATATTACTCCATAATCATGTACATTCACAACCCGACCTGGAACCAAATCGTGATGAAAACTATTAAAGTTCTACGACTTCCTCAAACCGCCTGTGTTAATAATGATCGCCAGCTCACTAATAACTAACCAAGAAAGGTAATTCTAGGAATTTAATTAAGAAATCGTAACTGGTGGAGTTCTAGCATACTAAATGTTTGAAAATTATCCACTTAAGTTAATAAAGGAGGAATGTGTGATATTAATCGATAATACTCGGTAATCAAATAAGAACTTTTCAAAATTGAGTATTGAATACCACGTAACGTCCTTACGCATTTTTTTTGGTATTTTTCCAAAATCAGAAAATCTATTCAGTATGAAACTATATGGAAGTTTGAAGGAATTTTGGGTGAAGAAGTACAAATGATCAAACTTACTGGTACCGGAACATTTAATGAATATTACCACACATTTTACTAATGATAATACAATCATTTAAACAATAATTTGAACAGATTTTTATATACAACTGAGAGACAAAATCATATGGATTCTTTCTTATTTCTTAGTTTTTGATAAGACCTTCGTTTATTCTTCTTCATATCTGTTGATAAATCTTTTAATGACGTTTATGATCAAAATAAATAATTAAGCTACATTTTTTCACCTTTAATGTTTATATTCAAGCATACAGTATCTTAATAAACTGATGACAATCCTGTTTTTTCTAAATACTTAAAGATTAACTCCATCAGGGGTATAACAATTACGGGATGGCAGGGAAGATTTGTAGCTCAGGTAGGTGATTTCGATGGAGTTTTGAGCGAGACTATAATTTATGAACGAACCAATCAGAAGCGTTTGAGGGGTTACAAGGTCACAGCGCCAATTTCAGTACCTAATGCTCACGTACGATCGGTTTACAACGAATTTTAGAGAAGACGTGATAATTGAGCTGCTAAAACAGATGAAATTACTAAGAAGTTCCTTTATTTGTCACTACGGTAATCAAATGACTGTTGTACCGTGTGCAGACTACCGTGATGAGATTATCTTTCGATATTATTTATGGTGTAGGAAGGCGTCTGCTCGAACAGGAACTTTCTTCATTTCAGCTGTTAAGTGGTATGAGTATTGTAGAGATATATGTACAATAAAAATCGCATACTTACACCAGTCGTTCGGGGAGTTGTGAGAGTCGTTGAAATAGACAAAACAGTAGTCAGGCAGCGAATATTTAACCGAGGATATAGTATTAAAGAAGACTGGGTAAGTATCACTTCCATAAATATACCTCACAGGTCCTTGGAATTTACGAATGTCAACCCAAAAGGGACATTTTCAAAGGGTCAGAAACCGACAGGCAACGACAATAATACCAATTATGCAGGAATATGTGCAACCAGGCACTAAAATCTATGCAGATGATTGGAGAACATACAGACACCTGCATAGCCTTGGTTATGTGCATCATGTCGTTGTCCACAAGCGCCATTTTGTGAAATCTACAACCGGAGCGCACACTAGCAATATTGGAGCTATGTGGTCGGGGCTGAAGGAGGTTTTATGACCCTATCATGGCTCGATAGACCTACTATTATGTAGTCATATGGATGAGTTCCTCTATCATATGCATTACGATCTCAGAACCTCCGAACCTCTTTCAAACCTTGATAAATTTTTGAACCATGTAACAGAAGTGTATCCACTTTAATTCTTTGGTTTCGTATGATATATTTTTACTTTAGACTAACTTTCTTCTGATTGGCTAATATTTATCAAACTCACTTAAGATTCGTTGAAAGGTCGTCCATAAATGATAGTCTCACCGAGTTTTGTTCTCTGAACTGAATGGTTTGGTCTTGGAGCTTTCATCGTTATTCTGAATAACATCATCAGCACAAACTTTACATAGAAGTAAAATGTTCGAATTTCTCCACCAATTGCTCACAAAATAAGTGAAAAGTAAAATAGATTAAATGACTTTTCCACGAGTGGACTTAAATTTCAAATTAACTGTAGTTATACTTTAACTGTGTAAGAAGCTTAACAGTAACTTTTTAAAAATAAGACTATTTCACTAATTCTGAAATAATCTCGAATTGTTCATCTTCAAAGGTATTGTGATTTAAATTCTAACGGTTATTCAGTAGTTTCAAATTCCTACAAAAATAAATGCGAATTATAGTTAAAAGTATTTCATTAATCTTCCAGTACTTCTGAATTACTGTAAAATATTTATTTTAGATTAAGTTATACAGTTATGTAATTTTCTATAATACACTATGAATATTATTATTATTATATTATTATTATTACTATTATTATTATTATTATTATAAGAAGCTTTATTCAACATTATACTTTTCGTACAACATAGAATTCTCAGCATAAAGTATTTCAACAAGTTTCTTTTTCTTATATCTTGATCGATTGTGACGATAAATTTCGAATGATGACCAGTTAGATGTTAGGAATTCGATAATCCGCATTTGATTAATGTTTGTTCGTTTCAATGCATATTGCCAGCCAGCATGATGTCGCTGATTGTACCTTTCTGTATCCCGTATAGCGAAAGGTTGTAAACTTTTCATAAACGCGCCCGAATAGATTGTGAGCACAATAGACATATTGATATGCTAAAACGAACAACAAAACAGATAACTTGAAGAAATATATAGATCGAAGGAACAGGTAGCCCAGATATTCAAGCAGGCCACAACCTAATAGAATTCGGTCAGAAAACAAATTAAAATCACTTAATATAAGTTTTGTAATTTTGTTTGTTTCTAGTAAACCATTAAATTGTTACCTACTTTAAAATACCTATCAAAATATTGAATCCTAGTTATTTCAAGTCTGAATGTGAACATCTTGGTTACTATGTAAGTGATCATAAATTTCACTAACTAATGAAAATGTTTAATGATTAGATAGATCAGGCTTTAAATGGGATTTAAAAAATAGCTTTATATATAAGTATGTTACTATCATCGAAGTTTATATGTTTCGTTACTTACTTATTCTATCTTTTGATGTTTACTCAATCGCGGTAGATATTAAATCTTCAAGTTGGATTTTAACAAAGAATTTTATCAGTAAATACTTAATAATTAGAAATTATGTTAATAAACGTCACGTATGTGTGGAGTGACTACAAATACTAATAAAATAAACCTTAATACTTGAGATATTCAAAGATTTTCTGATAAAAGTTCTTGTTAATAGTCAAGTCAAACTATTAAAACACTTAATGAAGTTAGATATTGACACCATTGGATGCCGCCTAAGTAGTCTAGTGGTTAAGCGCTCGCGCGCGAAACTGATAAGTCCTGGGTTCGGATCTCGCGAGGCGGAAACGTGGATGAGCACTTCTGAGGAATCCCACAATAGGACGAGTTGGTCGTGTAATGCTTCTAGGTTTTCCATGGTGATCTACCTTCAATTGACTACTGAACGCAACTATTAAATTACTATAATATCCACAAAACCCCTTCTGATACTTATTGAAAAGTTGCTACTGACAGTGCTACTCCTTATAGTTAGATCTAAAACTCCTGAATCCAATCTCATTTATCATTCTTTGAATTATTGATTAACATATATATGACTGTAGAAACTGAAGAGAGTTTATTTATTTATATATTTGTGTCTTAAATGTGTTTTTGTCTATATACTACAAAACTATTTTAATTATGATACAATAGAAATATATCACATTTTTGTATATTCAAAAGAAAAAAACCTGGGGAAGTAACATACGAGTTTTCTTTCAGTATTTCTAAGATTAATAATATTATCTTTGACATTTCACATGTAATGTCGGTTGCTTTGCTGAGCCCATATACCTTATTCTAGCTTTCCGACAGGCCAATCTATTCATTCCACTTGAGTCACATTTTGACCTTATTTATTATTCGCTTATCAATCTTGACTGATTTATATGAGCGTATATATGTCTGTGTACATTACTTAACCCATTCATCACATGTCTGTGACCCATTTTTGTGTGACCATAAATATTGATTAACGCTTGATTAAATCGAGTTGGTTCACACACCTTCTCCGCTGTTCGTCATTTCGCTTCGCTCTTTTCTCTTTCCTTCTCGGTCATTTCGTCCGAATCAAAGATTGTATGAAATATACTTATTCGAAATTCATTCTCGTATTTGACTTACTTAATTCCCTTATTGACTAACACGATTTAAGTCGATGATTATATACGAGGATAAGTGACATATACATTTCCACAGTAATCATTCAATAACACTGATTCATACGATTTACTTGGAGTCAGATCCCGGGCCACTAATTACTTAAAAGTACTGCATTAGGCACAAATTTCTTTAATCCCTTTTATAAATTTCGATAATGCAATGAGAAGATAAAGTTTATCAGAATTATGTAATATATAATGCATAAACTTTAATAGTCGATTCATACATTATTATTAAGTCTATTGTTCGTGTAACATTACGTATTTGTACCAGAAATAATCCATTTAACAATTCACAAGTTAACCTACTCTACTAACCTGATTTTTTTACTCAATAACTATCCATTATATATGATTTTTAGGTATGCATCAAATACGTTACAGATTAGTACGTTATTGAATTGGATGTCAGCAGGCCACAGAAATCTCTGATTTTATGTTTTCCGCTACAAAAAACTTTTTATTTAGTCGTTTACTTATCGTCGAGAAAATTGACTGCGTCCAAAGAATTTGAACTCTCATCATGCATTAAAATGGTTAGTGGGTTGTATAGAATAGACATTTTGGTTAATATTGGTCTTTTTTAGGACTGATATGTTTACACACTGGTTTATTAGTCAGCAGTAACCGATGTTACATTGTCTCCTTCAATAATCTTAATGTTCATTTATTTAGACTAGCAATTTACCGATAAAATTTTATCAACATTGAAGTTTAATTATCAATGACTGTTTAATAATCAATTCTCATGTCGTAATATAAACAGTTATTTCCTCGTGGAATGGATGAATGCTTGAAGTCACTAACTTCTAGTCTGAGCCATGTTGGCAGATGCAGACTACTTGGTTGTGGTTCGCGTGTCTGTTGAAACCAATCGTTTGAGACTCTTGGTGACATGGCTCAGAATCTATCACAATGGCGTTGGTATATACACTCTTTGTCTTCCCTTAAACTAAGAGATTAAAGTTGCTTCATATCTTTCTTTCTACGAACTAATTCTTTCTTCCTGTACTATATCCTTATTGTAATCTTTCTTTTATATATTAGCACCACTGAATGGAATAATTCTATGAATCTGGCGTTCATCTTTCGTACTAATGGGATATGGCAACTTGACCGATACACATATGTGCCTGGTCCTACTTTGTAGCGGACTGACTGACTATACTGCTTAGCAATACGTTAAATTAAACCAGAAAAGTATAACATGAATTTTTTATGTAGATATTTTAAAAGATTTTGTTTATTTTACGTTTTACTATTTTGAATTATAAATAACGTGTTTATTTAGGCAAATTTCTATAAAATGTTGTTAACTGAAGTACATTTATGAGTGACCTCATAAGGGTAAAGTGATACTAGTAATGTTTACACTAACTGTAGTAGGCAACTAATACATGTGATATAAATGAGATAAATTGTACTTTAAATGTTATTTATCATTCAAAATGGGACGACTTAAGAAGATAGACTACTTATAATTCTTTTGAATTTTCTGAAGTTACTGTAGTTTCTAATCACTAACTGATCCAAGTTTGAATTATTAATTATTATTTTCAGAAGGTTTTGTGGAGATTTTAGTAGTTAATAGTTGAATTAATGAGTCAATTGAAGCTAGATTGCCATGGAAAACCTTGAAACACTGAAAGGTCGTCGGAAATCCACAGCAGTGCACATCAACGCTCGAGACCGATAGGTCCTGGGTTCGAATCCTGAGGGGTTAGATCGTGGTTGAAAGAAAGCTGAGTGCTCAAACCAAGTATCAGCTCATGAATTCACTGACTGTTAAAGTAAGCCGTGTTAACATGTACTGAATATCAAGTTCTGGTTAGCACGATTACCACAACCAATAGTTGAAGACGTCGGGTGACTCAATTAAGAATCGACCTAAGTGGCACAGATACTTTCACTCTTCCCCTTCCTTTCTATCATGATTTTTGGCATTATCTCATAGTTTGTATTTCGTGGACCCATTCTTCCTTCTCGTGCCATACGGCCTATGTCTAATCTTTTGTACTAACACTGATAATACTACTGCTCCTACTATGCTGACATAGTGCGGCAACCTTAATCGATGCAAATATGTTCCAAGTTGTACACTGCTCATGATTAACTAATTGTCTGATAGTTTGTTAAGGCACTATAATGGCATATTTTCGTGAATAGTGAGGTGCTAACTTGGAAAAACTCCCGAGACATATCTGACTTAAGCTAGATAATGAACCACTGACTTACTAAATGAGAAGATAATTAGATTGTTCACAGGATTATCGATGCTTAAGTCTCATTATTTCACTCGTTATTTGAACAATTATTTTACAGATATTTTTTTCAAAAGATGTATACAACACTGAAGATAGCCCACGTTTTAAACAGCAGGAATCATCTGAAAAATCTATGAGAACTACATTAATATTGAATGTGGTTATGCTAGAAATGAACAATTGCCATAACTTTTAGTACACTCTAAAAAACTTATATATATTTGGTCAGTAGCTTAGAGTGGAATCTAGGATGAGCATTTCGTTCTGTTTGAGACTCTAGCTGGATGTACCTGAATTCATGAGTTAATTTTCATGATGAGGCTCAAATCCAGCATCATAAGCTTTAAATGTCTAAGCGTTTTTTCACTGAGATATTGAGTTCAGATAGCCAATAACTTGTTTAAATAGTATGTAAGCATTATTAAGTTTTAGTGATTCTAAGCTATTGGTTAGATGAACTCACTAGTTCATCGGATAACATGTTGACGTTTGAATTAGAAGGTATGAGGTTCGAGTATTTGTATGAACATCAATACTGGGATGCAGATAAATCCAGCTGACTAGCCCGAAGTAGAACAAAACACTCATCCGGTAATACATGAATCTTAGATCACGCGAGTTACCACCTATTCTTTCTGAATTGTCTCAGTTAGGCTTCCTGTATCCAAGCAAGTCCTATAGACACTTGATAACTGGAAAAAGTCATTTTATGGGGAGAATGTATATTTACTTGGTTAGTATGACTTCATAAACCAGCTAATACTATGAAGTACAACAGTAAATATTGTTCTTATTAAGAAAAGTAGCGTATGGCGATATTTAAGAACAAAAATAAGAATAAGACAGAATTGATCTGAAAGTTGGTTTAATCTTAAATCATAAGAAAGATGTTAGTTAGTTATGATGTCGACTAGTTGTGCTAAATATTGAGGGGCTTCAATTTAGATAACATTTGGATGATATAATGGTTTAATAAGCATGATTAGCAACGAATAATGATTTGTCTCCCAAAGCAGTTCCCATATTTCCTTCAAATTTGCCAACTGCAGCAGCACCATTTGCCTAGAAGATTGAAATAATTGTAAGTTAGTTCGTGTATTCAGTAAGAGCATTAATAATAAACTAATATGTGTTAAAAACACTTACACAAAGTTGAAATGTCTTGTAAAGAATGTTTTACAAAACCTGTTTATTTGGACTATTTTTTAACAGAAATAAAAGAGTTAAAATACGGAAGCGTCTGTTAATATTTGTACATTGTAATAACATGTTAAAAAGCCCTTAGAAGTCATCTGCATTATTTGCGTTCCTGTATCTTGTTTTAAAGATCACAATGAGTTATCGACTTCAACAAAACATTAGCAGTTGACATTGAGCAATTCATCTTATTGATGAATTAAAAGGGGTACAAAAGGTACTGATGAAATCTATTATCAACTCCCAACAACATTTATATGTGTTGGTAGTTCTAGGACTTGAATGTTTCTTCTACCTTTCAAAAGGGTAAACAAACTTAAATGTGGAATGAAACCAAACAGTTTTATTAAAACCAACATAAACAGATGTAACAGTAAGCTCATATATTTACTTTGGCCAATTTCAATAGCTCTTCCTGAGCCGCATGAACATTTTCTTTCTTTCCCTTCCATGTGGCTAAAACTGAAGCCTGTAGAGCACGACCAAAACTAAAAGTGAGTGCCCATGGCTTTGGTCCCGGAATCTTGTTGATTTCGTTCAGATTTTTAGTAGCGTCCAATTCTGATTGACCACCAGATAAAATGTGATACCTAAAACCGAAGAGTTTAAAAACGAAGACATTTGATTGTAGTCCACTGTGGCTTGTTCAAGATCAATTAACCAAAAGGTAAAATCATACCTGGGACAGCTGGAGGGACTGTGCGCTGAAGGGCTCGCACAGTAGCTAGAGCATTTTCCTGCGGTGTGTAAGCTTTTTTGCAGGCCTGTCCAGCAGTGACCATATTGGGTTTTTAAAAGCGTTCCTTCCAAATAAACATGATGATCGGCTAAAGCCTTGTACACAAATGCCAAAACTTCTTCTGTTACTCTTTGAGCAGTTAGTAAATCATGATCACCATCAGGAAGCACCTCAGGTTCAACGATTGGTACCAAACCATTCTAAAATTTACAATGTTTGCAAAGAATCATATTATTTGAAGCTCTTATACCATCCAAATAGAAATAATTAGAGTAACTCTAAATAGATAATAAAAGTGAATTATCGAATAATTTGCCAGGTTATGAATATGATTAGAATTTTGAAGTAGATCTTATAACCTTTGATGCCACAGCAGGTCAATGTCTACTTTTCACTACTCCGTCTTTAACAACGTCACACCTCCACTGAGTCTTTCGAACGATTTTTCTTTACAAGGAAGCTCTTTAAATTAAAATCGCACTTTAGTACTAGCTTTTATTATGACTAAACCACATTATAACTGTTCTTAAACTCAAAGAAAAGAACTAGGAAGAATAAAGTTAAAAATTTATTACTTAGACGTTTTTCTAGGAATCGTAAAGCAAAACAGAGCTTCAACTCCCAATCAGGCCCGAAATTACGAATTAAGTCTGAATTTCAATTCGTAACATTTAGTGCATGACCCAAAATAAAACACTAGTGTTAATTGTGTAGCGGTGGTTTTTATAACGATAATTGAAATCATTAAATAGTTTTAGGTTTAGCATTATGGAAGGAATATATGTAAATATTGACTGTCCAAGAAAGATAATTATATTTTCGAACTGCTGGATCTTTTTAGACAACAAAAATAGTTTGAAACTAGTATTGAACCTGAGATTTTTCTGTCGACCAGAAAAGAGAAATTAACTTACAGCTAAGACTCTTAAATACTTTTTATCTACAACAAACGTTCATAAATAGTAAATATTGAGTATTATTTTATTTGCTAAACCCATAAGTAAACATCTGGATCATAAAGACGTTTCTTCAAGCGCTTAACAGGAGCTCCTAAGTTTTTAATCTTCCACCCATCGTTACTGATAGTGGTGGTCTCATCTCATAATGCGTCCTACATATGAATAAGGCACCACCACAAATGCATTTTCTCACGGTATTATTAGGTCTGGAAATGTAGTTTTATTTATACTATATCAAAAATAGTGCATAATTTTTTTTCTTTTTAATAAACTCTAAATAACTGCCGCGAATGGATGATTTGCCTTAGCTGTATCCAAAACAAAATGATCTGGTATGTACTGAATTAATAATCTGAACTGATAGAAGATAATCTAAAATCATCATAGTTTGTATGACATAAAAATTGATTGGGATTTTAATGAAATAGGGATTTAAGACCCGTAGATTATAGTCGAAAATAATGAACTTGCCGACGTCGACGAATATACTTTATAGTCTCTCTCTCTCGTAGACTCTGTGCGAAAACAGAACTTGTATTTAATAACAGAAATACTGAACAGTCAGTCATTTACAACGTAAAACCAGGCACATATATGCATCAGTTTAAATTACTGTACCCCATTTTCACAACAAGATAAACACCAAATTCATAGAAGCAGTCACTTTAATGGTAGTAATATATAAAAAAGACTGCATAAAAGGATATGATACATGGAGAAATAGTTAGTTTGTAGAGAAAAGTAGAGTGGTTTTAATATCAAAAGTGTACACATCTGAGCCATTGTGGTCGATTTTGAGTCATGTCACCCAGAGTCTCTGACCACTGGTTACAATAGCCGCGCAGACTTTAACCAAGTAGTCTGCATCTGCCAAGAAGTCTCAAACAGATATACGCACTGTTCCTTAGAAGTTGATTGAATGTCTCTATGAGTACTAAAACGGGCTAGGTGTATATCAATAAACAGTTCAATGTACTATTAAGTTCTGCGCCATGAAAATGATATGTCTGTGATCAACCACTATTAAAAGATTATTTTAGGTGATGCAAGGCCTCATACGATGAGAAAGATAAAAGGTGAATCTCAAGCTAACATCAAGTCGTAGAACGATAATTTGAAGATAAAATTAATGTCAGATAAATATATCTCGATGACTAACGGAACTGAAAGAATAATATATCTTCTCTAGAAATACTCAGCATTATAATTTTGAAGTCATTGGAAATCAGGAGCTTATGAACCACAGGTGATCGCTAAATGATGGCTGCATGTCCTCCGGCCTGAAAGCAAGGCTTGTCAGAGCTCTAGAAAATACAAGTCTCACTGCTTATCCCCAACAAATATCAGACGTTATTTCATATATAAGGTTCTAACAATCTGCCATTAAATCACTAAATATATGTACTGGAATTAGTCTGATGAGTGATATTTTAACCGGCAACGCGGCTTCTGGGTATATTTTTTAATTTTTTGATTGCTGAGTAGAGCAAGTCAACATCCTTTTATATTTTACTAAATTTTAAGATGCCATTTTATTTCCCAACCCTTAATTTTTACCAATTATTCAACTGTTAACATACGCTGTTTGCCAAAAACCTAATAAAAGAATTTTAATGAATAGAATGTTTTTTTATGATGAGTAAACTAACCTGCTGACAGATGGAAGCATAACGTGCAAGTACATTGGCATTTTCGAGCATAGCTTGATATGATGGTGTGTGTGGAGAGATCTTCAAAACGCAACGCCACTTAGCAAAGCGGCATCCAAGTTTATAATATTCAGCACAGCGTGAAGCAAGATCATCAAGACCCTGAGTTGTTGTCTCACTATCTGTGCCTGCAAGTGGAACAACGCCTTTGTCAACCTTTATTCCTGGTATGATGTTTCGTTCGGCCAGTAGAGTAGGAAGAGTCTTTCCATCGTCCGACTTTTGATGAAGTGTCTCTTCAAATAATATTACTCCAGAGATATTTTCGGCCAGTTTATGGTCAGCACTAAAAAGTAGCTGCCGGTACAGACGACGATTTTCTTCGTTATTTTCAACGCCGATTTGTTGAAGCCTTTTACCCATCGTGGCTTTTAAAATTAAATTAAATGGAAATTAAGGCGGAAATACCTGTGCTTTCGTCAGCTGCTAGAATTCCTTTACCAGGAGCACAAATAGCTTGAGCGATTCGGCGTAGGTCATTCTCTTGAGCTTCAGTTAAGTAAAGATGAAAGCGTGACATTTCAACACAGTATGATACACCTAAAATTTGCTGATTCAGCTATCCAGAATGTAATAAGACCTACTGTAAAGAAACGAACTAGTTACGAACTTTAATCACGTACACAACTACTTATGGTCAGAGTACAAATGGTTAATATACCTTTAGCTCACTAAAACAAGCAGTACTATTGTAGCCCTAAAATCAATTGAACGCTTAAGGAATTCTTTATTCTTAATTACTCTTATCATCGTTTCCTTAAAAACACTGGATAGTGGTAAGGAAGTTTAATTCCATAGGTTTGTGTTAGTATGTTAGTAATACCTAAGGCTGCTATGCAATCATTATATACTTGCTGCGGATATGAAAGATTTCGGAAGTTTATGCTCGCATATTCAGCTGGTCACTATTTACAGGACGTCGTTGTACAGGAAAACAATGAAAGTTACAGATGAGCGTGGTCACTATATACTGAAATAAAGCTTCCGAAATAACAGAACCTAGTAGCAAAGTTTTTAACTTGTACAATCTTGAAACTGGAGTATTTAATTGCAAATCATAGTGAAACTCACTGAAGTAATACCAAAGAATTTGTTCGAAATATGAAGCTCTTGCTTCGAGAGTATTTTTCAGAGTCCGGTCATATTCCTTTTATATTTAATTAATATAACCAATCTGATTTGTCTGTCAAATGACATTATTACAGATCAAAGACTTCATCCTCCAAAACGTGGACGTCTTAACGCTTTTGAGAGAGTCAGGGAACTAAAACCCTGGTTGAAAGGTATTTGAAGGAGATTTGCGTCATAAAAATCTCATGTCTGTTTTGATTATACGACATTTCAAACACTGGGTAATCCAAATAATGGATTGAACTGGAAAGTGAATAGCAAGCGTTAGGTGTTCTTTACTTTTATTTTATTAATCCATGTGGTAGGCCAAATTCAACAATGGCAAACAAAAGGCAACTGAATCTCAGTGGACTTCAGTTATAGAGCTAATTTACCGGTGTGGCGAGGATGATGTGCTTGCATCTAAATACTCGGAGACAATGTTTCATAAAACCTATTAACCAGACAACACTTACTTTGCTAAGTCTAGACGCATTAAATCAACACAACTGTGTAGCAAGACATGTGACTTACAGATGCATAACTTCATTTCGATTTGGTATCTCGTGTTTATTTGTGTGATTAATTCGATTGCCGAGTATGTGTGTCTATAATTTGTTAATCGTTCCATTTATCTAATAATCACACAATATCCATACGCATTTCTGACGCACAGGCTAGCTGACAGTGAATAATCTGGATCTATTTTAAAGATGTCACAGGTATCCAGCATTTGACAACGTTATGTTCACAACACCTTTATTAACAAGGAATTTAAACCCAGTCAAACTAGAAATTATGCATGAAGGAGTTTAAGAATATTTTTGGAGGATTGTTGAAATGTTGAGGAGCGTTTGATCTAAGCTGTCTAGTAGTTGCAAGATATATGTAGCACAGTATACTCACTCCTGATCTGTTGCCGGTGCCTGACTAAGCGCCCTTAACCAAGGTGTGCTCAGGATAGCCACTGAGATCAGCAGCAACATCGAAGACCTAAAAGACGATTTATTTGCGAATTTGTTTGTTACTATAGGTCTGCTCGAGTCGTAAGGAAAGGGTATATCTTTGTAGCTTACTTCAAAGTCGCACTCCGTGGTCAACACTTAATATGAATTATCTGGTCGTGATAATCGAATGAATGATGGCGTTTGCTTCCAGCTTAAGTTTTTGTCGGAGATAGATCTAAAGCCCTTTTCCCCATTAGCAGTCCCCAATCGCACAAGCTTGGTGTTATTAGAATGTCGTTCATGTAATTTTTCAATCAGGACCTCAGATGACACTTAGCGATATTGCAAATGAATACCGGCGTCTAACAAATCAGCACTGTTTGGAGAATGAGGAGTAATCCTTCAGCACCCTGCTGGCATTCTGGTGTATGGGATTTTGTACGAACTTGTTCATTCAAACAACACCGTCACAGGAAGCGTAACGCCATTGTTGATAAAGATGGATTCCGTCAAATGAGGAAACTGAATCGGTTACCACACCGGTTGAAAAGTAAAAGATAGTGTGCTTCTAAATCCTGTACAAATTCCTTGAGCGTAATCGCGTCCTATCAGAACACAACCTTAGTGGAAGAGAGTTTGGGAATAAAATTGGCAGCCGACGTGTGTGGTTGACAACACAAAAGCCTCGTACAGTGTGTCGTAGCTATCCGAGAATCGGCAAAGATCCTCATTGAAGGAAGTTTGAGGACGATCAACAAACTGATGAGCAGTATGCGCAATCCAATCTAATCCTAATAAATCTAAATCGTGTCGATTTGTGAAATAACGAACATCTGTGAATTTACTTCCCATGAGTTGAACGTTGCATATAACCTCTCCTGTCAACTTCACTATGTCTCCTGAAGCATTTCGAGCGACATGTTCCGTCGGTCGGATGCGTGGGCATCCTAACTTATGCCATGTGTTCTTTGAGATCAACGTAACATCAGAGGCAGTGTCTAATTAAAGTCGTACAGGTTTTTCATCTACTAATAAATTTACATATTTCCGCCTACTTTTAAACCCAACTTTGAAGGTTGCAAACGTGGTTTTAATTCGACTGTTTGATCGTTGCTTCGAATTTTCACCACGATGTTTAGGCTTGCGTTTATTTAACGAACAATGACCTTCTTTGTGGCCAATGCGATGACATTTGCGGCATTTATGATTCTTAAACGGACAAAATTTTGCAAATGCCATGCTCCGCAGAACCAGCATGGTGATGGGGGGTTGGCAGGTTGTTTCATGCTTGTACTGTTTTGTTTCGATGATTTTGAGGACCGGAGGCATTAATTGAACCAGAATCGGAAGGTTTAACCTTCTGTTGCAGCATCGCGGTATCATGCTTGAGATTTAGTAACGTCTGACATTCAGCTGTGACCATTTGTAATGTCATATTCGGTTCTTGTTCAATTCGTGCCAACATCCTGGTACGGACATCTGCATCTGCTTCATTCTTTAGACCACATATGAAAATCAAGCATTTAAATTGGTCCGCTGTGATGTCGTTTATTTTGAAGCGTACTCACTCTCGATTTACCTTCCCAGCATACGTGAGGTAATCGTCCTCTGGAGATTTCGTTATTTGGAAACATTTATAGCGAGTATTAAATAATGAGGACTGTTCGTCGAAAACATCAGATAGAATCTGGACTGTGTCTTTGGATGATACATCTCGAGGATTTTGTGATAAGATAAATTTCACATATTTATTGTATTCCTGTGTTCCAAGTCTTTCTATCAGTAAGCGGACTTTAGCTACGTCGTCAAGATGTGAGCATTCGACGCGGAAAATGTCTCCACAACGGCGAAACCACGAACTGAAAATGACACCAGCTTCGGGATCATAATGGAATTCAGAAATAGAATTTACGATGCTTTCATACTTATCTCATTGACAAGTTGAGGAATAATGTTATGAGAGCATTCGCGCCAGTGCATCCAAAAGCTTCGTTTGATTTGCATCATTTTGTGGTTGCTGCATTTGAAGAATAGTTTTGAGGTCATCCAATGATACAGACATTTAGTTCTGGATCAGGCAATATAGAAAATTTCAAAAAATCTACGTCGCCAATTGTTATGACCTTGAATCGCTTTTACCCCGTCGATACTTGGTTATGACTAGACCTTGATCTGTCTAGTCTAGATTATGACCTTGACGCGATAGGCTGAGCGGCTTAACCTTGAGTCTAGTACGTGTTAGTTCGAGATGGGGTAGAGAGAGAACTATTCTAGAACCTGATTGGTTGGCAAGCACGCAAGTGAGAGAAGACAAGATAGTTGGAACACTGAATTCTGAATTCTCTGAATTCGGATTAGTGAAAAATGTACATGGATAAATAAGTGAATATCCTGACCACAACGTTCGATAATTTGGAAAAACGCAATTATGCCCGAAACTGGGAATTAGGGTAGAACATAAGATGCAAAATATTATGTTTAAATTACAATATTTTCGGAACAAAAAGGGTACGGCAGTGAATGTTACATAGAACGAAAGCTCATGTTATGTAGAATAAAATAGGGACAAAAATGAATATAAGTGTTTTACAAGGTTTGAATGAAATGGAGTAACGTCCCAGGAAAATAGCTTTCGTAGTTGTCTGGGCTTCTTATTTCCCCTTTCACAACACAGTCTAAGTCGAACATCCCAGCTGTTGAACGGAAGTCAACTGATGGTCTGGTCGCACAGTCTACCCCCAAGATTGTCTGTCTGGTCATCAAAGAACCAGGATTCATAAACGTGTTTCGACCCCCAAACAACAAGGTGCTAAACCTGAACGCACTGAAAAACCTGGGACGACAGTAACGGTTCGTGATGACTCTCTCATGGTCATGAACTTCATAGAGGACCCTGACCTTCCTCTTAGTTTGCAGGACAAAAATAATAGGATGCTCTGGGGAGAATTGAACAAGAAACTTGGATTTCTGAGAATAGAGCCTTTGACAGTCACACGGCTGACTCGGGGAAATGAAACTAAGCATCAAAATCACCCAAGGCTACTTCGTGTAACACTTAATAATGCTACCGACGTAGAGGATGTCTTACTAGCGAGTCATTTACTGAAGTCAGATGGGAATGTAAGAATACTGCCTGACATACCGTATTCTGAGCGCAGTCTCATCCGGAACATCCCCAAAGAAACTCGCGATCAGTTTTTCCGAGGGAGGAATTTAATGGTACAAGGTATACCGGAAAATACGGACCCTACTCAATCAAAGACTGACATCAGGGAATGGAAATTCATCAAACAATCCTTGAGGCTCAAAACATACGGATTCAGCATGTGACGAGACTAACCAAGAAGGATGGTGATTCTAGACCCCGTCTAATGAAGATGACCTTCCCATCTTTCCATATGGCGGCTGCAACTCTGGAAGCATTTCGTGCCAACAGACGTCGACTGCCACCTGGAATCCACATGCACCCGGATAGGCCATACGACGCTACGACCAAACGCAAAGGCAAGTTGGAGCTGACCATACCACTTCTGAACTGTCTAGACGATAAGAAAACGTGCAAAGGACAGGGG